TATTATTATTATTATTATTATTATTATTATTATTATTATTATTATTATTATTATTATTATTATTATTATTATTATTATTATTATTATTATTATTATTATTATTATTATTATTATTATTATTATTATTATTATTATTATTATTATTATTATTATTATTATTATTATTATTATTATTATTATTATTATTATTATTATTATTAAATTATTATTGTTATTATTATTATTAAAATTATTATTAGTTACTATTTATTTCACGTTTCGCATGCATATTTTGTAAAATAAAAACATATATCTTAAAATTTGCTTAAATTCTGGTTCTTGAATTATTTTTTTACTTTCTTTTGTTTCTTTCCGATTTCTGTTTTAAAATTTTATAAAAATATTTCTATACCTTGCATAAATTGCAACAGTCAAGTTCAGCTAGTTATTTTTATTTCCTTTATTCTACAGTTGTTCAAGTAATAACCACAAAACATTGAGAATTACTTGCCCATGGGTTGAAGAATTATTAGGCATACAAAAACCACAATGTTCATCGTTAGTGCAGGAATTACAGTTTCTGAAATAATCTAACAAATATTTCAAGAATATTTTCCTCAAAAATTTTTAATTTTCAATTTAGTGAGCTCTTCATCCTTTAGATATGAAAATGAATAATAAATTTATTAGGAACATTTTCATCATTTCATAAATTTACAAACTAAAAACGGGAGAATTCAAGAAATTAATAAAAGTAGGGGAAAAACTGACTTGAACTGAGCGCAGTGCTCGAAGTATGGAACGAAATCCAGAATATCTTCTTGAAGAGTTTGATTCAGTGGTAGAGTAATTACGGAATCAAGGCTAACATATCCAAATGAAAGTCCCATGAAAACGAGTACAAAAATTACGCCTGCTACTGAGCTAAGCAATACTTTCCGCCGACCGAAACGTTCAATGATTACCATTGGAACAATGGTGCTCAAGGAATTTATTACTGAAACGAAAATAACAAAATTTGAATTGGGGGCTAAAATCGGATCAACGGTTTGAAATATTAATTGCCGCGGTTATTTTTTTTTTTAAATGATTCATTTACTTGTCGAAATATTATTATTTTCCTGACTAACATTGACTGTATTCAGGTAAAATTAACAATTTTCGTTTGGCTTGAGACTATCCCGAACATCTGTTTAAAAAACTTGCATATGGTCATGAAAAGTAAATAATGTGTTGAATTAAACTTTTAAACATTATATTGACATGCAAATCTTCAAAATTAAATTTATGAGAAGGGAAAATTTCGGAATTTGTTCAGAATTCACAATTTATATTTTTATAAAATCTTTTTTATATGAGAAACTAATTACCTAAAATAATACATGAAAGCCATATAACCGATCCCACATCCTTCACTCCAGCTGATCTGATGATAGCTGATGAATGATAACTGATGGTAAAAATTGGGAATTAATTTGAATTATTCAAATTGTAAGAGGTCACTGGCAAATAGAATGTAAAAAAAAATCCCAATCACAATTTTATAAAAATCAGGAGGAAAGTTGGAAACTGATAAAATAAAAGAACAGAAAACCGGAATAAATTTAAATTAAGTTAAAATGACCTGTAATAATTAAGGCTCGCTTGATATATTTAATCGGAGTAAATAACCTTGAGCTAATTACTCTAATTAAAACATAATTTAAAAACGGCATGTCTTAATTAATCTAATCAGTGAAAACTTGCATGATAGCATTTATAGCCGATAACTGTTGAAATATTTGCAGCATGCAACCGAGCAATATTTGCTGCAATGTACGCGTGTCACGTATAAGATGCATTACACGCCATCTACCTATAAGCTGCATCACTCGTTGCATATGTTTCTACATACTTCATTTATTAGCTCAAATTGTCGAAAGAAAAAAAGGAATCCAAAGTCCGCACAATATTTTCTTACATAAAATGGTCAGAAATCAAATTATTAAAGTAGTAAATTTTAAATTGTATGTCTATTTCTTGCAAATCATTTCTCTTTTCTATCAATACTTTACGAGATTCCATTCAGATTTGTTAAGCTTTTTTTTTTTGATTTCAAAAATGGAAATGTCGTTAGAGACAATAATGGGAATGCGCTATCACAATCATGAAATGATACGATAATTAAATTGAATAAGAACAATTAAATTTAAAATCGACTATTTCCTCCATACCTTTCAACATTTCTTTAAGTCTTTCCTTATAACCAATGTAAATATTCAAGCGATCAATTTCTTCTTGTTGAAGTTTTTCATCATTTGGATGAAGCCATTGTGTTACCTGTAAGGTTATCAATAAATGATTAGAATTTACATAAAAAAGAAATGAAAAGTATCGTATTAAAAGATTTTGTTCTAAAAGTACGCTTAAGATTTAATTCATTTATCAATATTTTATTATTATTAATATAGAATTAACATTTATACATTTTAATATAGATCAGTGTTAGAATTTTACCGTTATTATTTAAATTGTAATGTTATTCTACTAACAATAAAAAAGAAAGAAATATTAAGAACAAATAACTCGAATGCCTTCTTCTTCCTGATCATTAGCACATAGCCACCGTGGACTTTCGGGCATGAACAAAAAGACGATAAATTGAATTAAAGATGGAAAGGCTGTGAAACTAAGCATTAAGCGCCATCCAGCATAAATAGGCTGCACATAAGATAATATACCTGTATTTTTTGATAAAAACTGAAATCGAGCAACAAATGGCTAACAAAACGGACTAATTAGCTAAAAATCTTTCTTAGAATGAATTTANAAATGAATGAAAATAATGAAACGTTTTTTATT